AGGCATTAATTTATTTGGATGTAAGTACACTAACATAGATATAAGAATTCTCTTGTTACTAACTAATTCGGACCATTGTAGTCAAATTTATGAACAAATTAGATGTGCATGCTACATCGTCGACCTCATCATCCTTTCCATCAGGTGAGATGAAGGTCCAGTGCGTATTTATATTTCATTAAAAAAAAATGCTCCACCAATTTGTTACAATTACAAATTCAAGACACTGTTGGAGTGGTTCCTTGTCCTCTGCAAAGGATGCGGCCTTCTTCCGTATCATTCCATTTAAATCGTCTCTTTGCATTTTGAATCAATAAACCTGAACTCTGGGTGAAACCGGAACAATATAAATTAACACCTAAATTCATTAACACTAGAAATTTCCAGAGACATGGAATAGTTATTTGAGGTCTGCAGAATTATAGCAGAGTCAACAATTGGACGTAGCGGGCGACGAAGCGACGTTAATTAACCGCTAGTAGCCAACATTGCATACTGCAGGTGTTTGCACAACTCTCGCTTCGATGGGCTAAGGAACATCTTGGCTAATATTTGACTCAATCTGAAATAAGTCCAATTAAACAATACAATTCGTTATCATGACATTGTGGGACACGAAACCTAGTTTTTATATAGTTACTAATTATTTTTATACTTGGTTAATACTATTGTTGGAAATCTACGAGTCTAATGGATAAATAGTCTTAATTGTTAAATAGTCTACAAGTCGTGCGCCTGGTGATAAGCGACAAGCTTGTCCGTGGCAGTTGCAGTGCCACTGAGAGGTTTAAAATGCATACATCAGAGAGGCATTACTACTGCACCCATCACCCTGAGAAAAGTTGACAAGTCCCATGTGTCAGTAAGTCTGCCGTCCACTAACTAAACGCAGCCAAGTGACAAATGGTCAAATAACCATTTTAAATAGAAAGAAAAAGAGCACAACATTCTCTTTTAAAAACAGTTAAAATTAGTTACCGTGTTTGACTTATCTGAACTTACCCTCTTTTTTTTTCTTTTTTTTTCTGAACTTACCCTAACGATCATAGCTAAAATATCATTAAACAATTGCAATATTCTAAAACTGGGTTATGGTTTTTTAGAATTTCACTAGCACTCTTAAAAACCGAAACTCAGTATAATGGTCACATTACTGCTTAGCGGCAGAAATAGGTTAGTACCAGGGTAGTCCCTGGACGAACTCTTTCAAGCGCTATGGGATCTTCCTCCTTCCGAGCAATCCTTGGATAAAAGAAAGTTAATGTGGATTTTAGGTGAACCACGGGAAGAAATAAATAACGTAATCCACCAAAGTGACTAGTCAGGTGATCCACGGGCAAGATCTGATTTGTCGATCGATTATAATATTTGGGTTATTTCAGTGAAACTAGAAAATATTTTTTTTAATTATTCACCTATTCCGGACATAGCTTTGCTATGACAAAAATAAAAGTTTTTCCTTCTTTTGTTTTAAAAACCTGTTTTTTTTATAGAAAAGTCACTGTTTTGAAAGTGTACCTACGTACATTTCGATATTACAAATATAAGTATTTTGTATATTTTACATTTGCAATATTAAAATTTCGATCGAAAACTTTGAAGGTTTATTTAAGAAAATTTATGAGTAAAAACATAATTACCCTTGAAATATTGACTCCTTAAAACAGTTATAGTAATAAATTTCAATTTCGTGCTGTATCGCTCGGAAATCATATCAGGTAACTATTTGCGTAGTCCAGACTACAGAGGAGTATTCCGAATACATTCAGTAGTAATCACGGTAGATAACAACCTTGGGGAAGCTCTATACGCTGAAGCTCGGCTGTGGAAATTTCGCGAGTTCCGCCCGGATTATGCCGGATTCGGTTTCACGTGAGTCTGGATTACAGAGATTACACACGGTAATTAGTTTCGGCACTACGTGATTTGCTACTAAACAAACTATTTATACTGTTAACTTTATGTTTAGAAACTTAAACAAGGATTGTTACTAGTCATTAGCAAATAGGGAGTTAACTGACCACAAAGAATAATAAGTAATTGCTCACTACAGTTCAGTAAATTAAATTGTAGCAAAACTGTGATAAATTCCATCGAGAAACAATTTAATTTTTGAAATTAATACTTGAAAAATTTTATAATGTAACTACTAGATGCCTTGCAACTCTAAAATATCACAACAAACAATATGTTATTTATGAAAATACATTTAAAATCTGGTGCACATTTTTTTCTATAATTATACTTAATAACACAATACACATTTGAGGTAATAATAGCAAATAGTGCAAAGTCAGTTGGCAACACTAGAACTACCGAAATTGATTTATAAAATTAAATATTATACAACTGTACATAATTAAATGCCACATGTATTATTGTTAAGATATAAGAGCAACAAATGGTCCATGGCGTCTGCGCATTGTCAACGTAGACTTCAGTAGCGCGCGCACTCGACCGGAAACCGTGACGCAAGAAGCAGCTCAGAAGAAACTGAATCAAACAAAAGCGATCTAAAAAACGAGGGCAACGCCTGCGCAACACGACCTTGACACGAGACGCCCTTGACTGTTGGTGAAAACACCCGCCGCTCAGCGACTACTCATCCCTGCGCCACTTACATGTGACAAAAATACACCACAAGCGTGTACTACACATATAACCCGAATTCATTCGACTGCTATTATTATATTCCAAAGAGAAGATAGTCCACCACGCTAGAACAATGTGTGTTACGACCTCCACAGGTCAGCGAATAGTACTATAGATCGTCTATTCCTCAAATTATTTTTCACCCTCAAAGCATGAGCTCATTATAAAAGAGTTCGCCCAGAGAAGTACTGCCACCGTACCTATTTCTGTCGCCAAGCCGTAAGGTGAGCGTTACTGTGTACCGATTTTGAAGGCGAAAGGTGCTGGTGAAATCACAGGTGCATGAGACTTGTCTCAGGGTGAAGGACGCAGTGGCAGTGTACCTCAGATCTAAAGCTCTGGGGTCTTCTCCCGTCCTGCGTACGACATACGTCCGAAACAATTATTGTCAAATAAGTAATACTCGACCAAATTAAGAAGCGCATAATGCGAATGAAGCATTAAAGCTCTTTGTGAAAGAGTTCGTCCAGGGGAGTCTCACCTATTTCTGCCGCCAGGCAGTAATGTCAGCATTACTGTGTTCCGGTTTTGAAGGGTAAGGGTGCTGGTGAAATTACAGGCACATGGGTCTTGTCAACTTATGTCTCAGGGTGACGGGCGCAGTGGTAGTGCCCCTCAGATCGTTGCTCTTTTAAAGTTCTGAGTGGCACTATAACTGTTATGGACAGGCGTGTCGCTTACCACCAGGTGCACGACTTGTTCGTGCCGTCACTTGGGGTCATAAAAAAAGACTATTTAACAATTAGATCACTCGTAGGAGATTTCCAACAATAGCATTAATCAAAAGGGAAAGAGAAAAGTAAGGGTGATAGTGAATCTACAGGCTTAATGGGACTTATCAACTTTGTTTTTAATCTGCCTCTGTGGCCGAACGGTTACCTGCTGGTTTGTCACGCAGAGGTCCCGTGTTCGATTCCGGACCGGAGATATATTTGTATGGGTGTAATTTGTAATTGTCTGAGTGTGTCCTTGGCACCTGCGACTAAGGATTTCCCTAGTGCGGGGCTATGAGTGTGTGAGTTACTACTATGTCTCAAGGTGACGGGTGCGGTGGCAACACCCTTCAGGTCTTTGCGATTAAAACTCTAAGTGGCACTGCAACTGTTATGAATACGCGTGTCGTTTACCACCAGGCGCACAACTTGTCAGTTCCGTCACATAAAAAAGTGATAATTAGTCTAACATGTTTTGAACGAACGAGGATCGTAGACCGTGCTGCATGGATCAATAATTAAGATATCAAAAATTATTAAAATAATAAAAACATTGCAGAAGATTAAAACACTACCAAGGAATAAATATCTTATTCCTACACATAATGTCATGAAACACTAGCTGACTCCGTGAAATCTTTTCAACCATAACAAAAGTATCGATCTACGATTCGTCAGTGAAAATGAACAACGGAGGTGACAAGGAGTGGCTACTGACCCGTAAACTCTTTGCAGAAAAAGAATATGAGTCTGCCTCGGAAATTTCATCGAACACAATGTCTTAGTGTTAGATTTTTTCGGATATCCTTAGTAGTACTCATTGTGATATGCAGAAAACTCCTAAAATGTCAAATATGAAGTCGATAATTTAAATACACGACTCTGTTTGCTAACCCGCTGTTACATTATTTATCATATAAAGTTTTTAGAGTATTTGGCGTAATTGTCTTGACATTTTATTTTTTCATATACAATAAAAACCACCCAATGTTTTACCTACATAAAAGAAACAGATCAAATATAGTTAGTGGTTTTTATGTTTTATTTATGTTTTCAGAAAACCACAAGTTCACGAGGCCACAATGTCTCTATTAAACAATATACAAGGAATTGTGATACAAAGGAATAAGTAACGTACTATACCTACAACATGAGTCTATTATATTAGGGCTAACATAGTCAGTAAAATATATTTTGTATCAAATTGCTTAGCTTATTTCACAATTTATTATAGAAAAGCCTATTTACTGACGCAAGTTAAAATTGAAAAAAACTTATAATTTTAACTCCAGGTTAAAAACTTTGTATGTACATACTTAAGTGTTTTTGAAAACATTGTTTTTCATTTCAAGACCTATGGTCATAGTCATATGGAAAAATCGATGACTTACTGACCTAATTGAAGCTTTGTGAAAAGTTCACACGACGTGTGCTAAAAAATGCATAAATCGTGAGCTAGGCACCAATTGTGCGCTGAACGAATTAGTAGCCTCAGTAATTGACGCACAAGAACTAATTTAGGCCAGCCGCGTAGTGACCGCCATCCATCTGTCGCCCTGACATTAAAAACTACGACCACTACAATATTGGCAATAGTATAAAAGCAAAGAGAAAACTGTAACAGGTATCATTTGGCAATCATTACTCAATACAACCAGGAGAACAGGACAACATGAAAACTCTCGTGATGATCTGCTTGGCTGCGGTGCTCACCGCCGTCATCGCAAGGGATACGCGGTATATAAGAGATACAGACCTTGTAGCCGCAGCTTCTCATCACGGTGGCCATTGGGATAAAGGAGGTGGTAGCGAACACCACGGCCATCATCACGGCGAGCACGGCGGTCACGATGAAAAAGGCTACAAAGGACACCACGAACACCACCATGGTAGCAAAGGTCATTCCCACCATGAAGGACATAAAGGGCACCACGGTGAACATGGTGGACACAAGAAACACCATCACCACGACGAAGGCTATCATGATGAGCACCACCACGGAGAAAAGGGTGAAAAGGGCCACGGCTTTGAAGAGCACGGTCACTGGCACAAGGGACACGACACGAAGGGTCACCACGGCATTCATAAAATAGATGAGTTCAAGAAGGACAAGCACTTCCATAACAAACATGGTGAATCCGGATTCCATGAGGGCTACGGCGGTCACCATCATGAAGGCGGATATAAGAAAGGAGGTCACTTCCATAAGGGACACAAGCACGGCGGATTCCATGAACATGAGCATGGCAAGAAGGGCCACCACGAGGAAGGAGGTCACCATCACGAAAACAAGGGCTTCCATGGTGAAGGTGGTCACCACGAGCACCACCATCACCACAAAGGTCATGGCAGCAAAGGCGGACACGAAGACCACAAGGGCTGGGACTGGAAGGAAGGACACAAATGAATCTACTAGACTTATGATGAATGAAGATTTTTGTTATTGTTGATACTTTGTGATACATATGAATGAATAAATTATTAGCATTTTGCATTTACACTTCGCACAAACGTTTTTCAGTTAACACTTGTTCCGTCGCAACTGTTGTAGTCAATCTAATAATCACGCGTTTCGAATTCTACGTGAAATTAGCTCCAAATCCAATTTTAACTATTGGCCGGGTGCCGCTTGCCGCATTGCACGCTAGTTTGCCAACCGTGCCTGATGACGCCACTATTACGCTGAGCAAAACTCCATCATAACAATATGCCCTACAGCGAACTCCCACAATTCAACCATTATAACAAAACCTAAGGTAATTAATATAACTAATAAATACGTAAATTAAGCAATGAACTTATAGTCCGTAGCAAACAAGATTTGTGTTAATGCGTCTGTGCAGCGTTTAAAGAATTTAAGCTTTAAATAATGCTTCCATAGTAGTAACCTATGTTCAATTCTGGGTGAAAACAAAATTAAGAAATTCTTTTTTTATAAAAGAGTACGCTTTATGTTGGTCTTTTGGCTAGCGCCCAAAGTTTTATTGCTCTGTTTACTCATGCCACTGAGAATTCCCAAATGTAAGCCATCGGGAATGTGTGAATGGAACATTTACTTATTTAAATCACAGCACAAGTCAAGATGGTGAAATTACAGGCACATGGGACTTGTCAACTTATGTCTCAGGGTGACGGGGCCAGTAGCAGTGGCCTCAGATCTTTGCGATTTAAAGCTCCAATTTGCACTGCAACTGTTTAGGATAGGCGTGTAGCTTATCATCAGGCGCACGCCTTGTTCGTCCTGTCACTAGATGTTATTTTTTAAAATGGTTAGATGTCACGCCTAAGGTCGTGGATCACGCTGCCCAATGCATTTGAGGATTCCGCACGTCTTCACTAGAGTAAACCATTTCCGAGACACGATGTTTTTTAACATGATAGAATGTAGGATGCTGTATGGAATAACGTGTCATCCAATATGATCATAGTTTTGCGAAAATAGCACCTAAAGTTTTTTTCGTTGTTTTTGATAGTTTTTTCATAGTTTGATTTACTTGTAAAATGGAAAATGATTTTTGTTGTCGCGTAAATTTTAAGTGCCATTTTCAAAAAAACTATAATCACGTTTTCATCCCGTTTCTAAAATGACTTAGTGGTGCAAGGATCAAGATGAAAATCGACCCCAAAAACTCTAACATAGATTACCGGAATTCTCTTAACTTTAGCCATCAATGATTTTATTATATCTCAAGTTACAGAAATTGGAGGCTACGAGGCAAGTTTTTGACCTAATTTTTCTCTACAAGGTTTTACATAGTCATCTCGACACGCCATAAATAATGTCTCTGATTGGCTTAGCGATACTCACAAGGCTTCTACGTTACCCAGCGCAAAAGATATTTTCAATTTCCGTAGCCAATACTAAAGTGGACCACGTTTTTCTGTTTAACGTAGACAGTTGATATCTTTCACAACATGTATATTTAAACGGTATGTAATAGCTGGTTTTATCTTTAGTAGTATAAATTGTTTTTATTTTCTATTTAAATGCAAAATCTGTGTTATCTTTCGTCATTGCTGTATATACCTATAATAGCATAATGTGTACATGAATTCATAAGGCTATGTAAATTTCAATAAAAAATAAATCACAATTATATACGGATGGCACATCTAAATAAATTTAATTTTACTCATCCTGAATCAACCGTTGAGTCCATTGGAAATCAGTGTCATAGCCTATTATCGGCAGTAGATTTAATTGAATGAGATACTTTTGCTCACGCCACAGCCGCGCAAACGACAGTATTTCAAATTTTATTGTCTGTTGCTTGCCTTGACGTTTTTTGTTTTATTTTCGTTGTCATTCTTTTTTTTGTGTACTTTTGACCTTGTAATACATACTTTCTATTTCAATAAAACAATCCTTAAAAAATCTACTAATAATTATGTTTGATTAGCAACAAATGCTACCTTATTTTTATCGTATGAATGGCATACACTATAGTGCTTGCTATTGCCATCGTGCTGAAAGGATTTGCCTATCGCCGTAGGGTGCTCACCGATTTCGCTATAGGTGCGCCAGACGTACATAAAAAGAATGGCACGTCGTGCGGGGAAGCTCCTTTCGTATACGGGTGGTATCTCAACAACATTAGAATGGACAGTTCCGGACTTTATAGTCGATCCAAAGAGGAACAGTCAAGGTGGAACTAAACTGATAAGCGTTCAGTTGGAAGGCCCCCTACTAGATGGACGGATGACCTGGTAAGGGCAGCGGGTAACGATGGATGCACGTCTCGTCTGAGCGGCTGGTCTGGAAATCTTTGGGGGAGGCCTATGTTCCGCAGTGGACGTCTTCCGACTGATATGATGAAGATGATGAAATCGATAAAAACAAATGCTACTACGATACATGCTGTCTTTCACCCTCCACAGTTGGGCTGCAGAAAACCACAATGATTCAGGCTTCAGTCTCTGACGATGTAATTTTTATCTACCTTATGAGGTTACATAGATTAGGTTTCATATGATATACATCTTATCGAGCGGTGGAGTTTCTTTCACCTTTAGCCAGAGGTAGTTGCTATTTAACATTCACAAATGCATGTTCTCAGCAATTAAAATCAAAGGTAGATAACGCTCCCACGGGGATTCGAATTGCGGACCTCTTAATCGAGAAATAACCGTTCTTCCACTAGGCTACTATCGCTCTTAGGTATATACGATATACATCATCAACCCATTTTATACGCCCCACTGCTGTGCACGGGTCTCCTCTAAAACCTCTAAAGTTTTCAAGGCGAGGGGTTAGGGCTTAGTCCGCCACGCTGTCCCAATGCAGTTTCAGGACTTTTCACACGTTTTCCGAGGGTTGTTGGGATGTTTTCCTTCGCCGAAAGGTCATGGTAAATTTCAAATTAAATTTCGCACATAATATGCGAGGCTGAATTCGAACTCACGGCATTTACTTGAGAAGCGGTATATCAAATTATTAGATTGCACGCTTGTTTTTTAAGTATATATAGAAAATTTAAAATATTTATGGGAATTCCAACAAACGGAAAATCAAAGTTGTTTCTTTTGAATAGGAACGCTGTGTTAAAAAACATCATTATACAATTTTTTCATTGAAAAAAAAAACCGACCTCAAAAGTTTATTTATTGACTTTTTCCTATTTCCATGGGATCCTCTCGTCAGATTCTGACTTCTTAGTGACAATGGGATAGTTACTGACTCCTTTATACATTTTATACTTTTTTCTGGTTGTCATAGTGACAGTGATTTGTTGATTACATGTATTGCGTCAAGTGAAAAAACTTTTATTTGCGGAAAATATTATTTTTATTTGTGATAGCTGAAACGAACTCGGTACAGCATCGTTGGCTTCTAGAACCACCTCGAGAGTATATTGTTTAAAACAAAAAAAAACCAAAATCGGTGGGCAATTCCTGGAAAAGTCGGTATGTATATGTATGTATCGGTACTCGATTTCCATGGATCCCCTTATCAGATTCTGACTTGCAATGGGACCACCACGAGATTGCACACTTTCAGACAAAAAAGAATTTTCAAAATCGGTCTACAATTGACGTAGAAATCTGAAAACATACATAAAACATACATACAGCCGAACGTATAACCTCCTCCTTTTTATTTGAAGCCGGTTAAAAACAGAAGAGTTGTGTCGTTGTTGCGGCGCGTGCGCGGCAGTCCCAACGGCCTCCTGGCCACTGTTGCGACCAGAGTCGACGGCCCAATTATACAGGCATGGGAGGCTGTTCATGCGACAGCCAGAAGGGATTAATGTTATAGAAAATTTGTATTTGCTAACTTAGTCATAAGCTTAGAATTGTTACTAACACGATATGGAGATAATCCGAAATAAACTATTAATATTATTATTATAATAAGAAATATTTTAAAGTTATTTTGTGATCTTTTAAGTATTTATCGCACAAGACATTTTTGGTAACTGGTAAACGAATCGAAATTTGAAGAGGAGACGTGATCGCTTCGGCGATCGCGCAGAAAGTGAGGGTGGAACGATAACACATCCGAATGATGAGGCAAAGGTATTAAAAAACGATTCAAAATTTAAAAACGAATGGCCAGGAACCGGAGAAAATGCGACAAAAAGGTGGGATAACGATGTAGGGAAGTCACATCGTCACACCTTTTAAACGCTTGGAATAAATTAAAACTCAGCGAAATATAAACTAGAAGCTCTTGACTAGGTCGCACATAGAGCCTACAGACTTATTGACGACGATAAGCTTGAAAAAAAAGAAGAGAATCTAAATAGACATGGGCGCTTAAAAGAAAAGCCCTTAAAAAAGTTTGCTTTTTACAATAAGCACTTAAGCAGTCTTTTCAATTTAAGCGTAAGGTTGGTCAGTTCAATACTCATCAATTTAATTTTTTACAACGTGCTTATATTTCAAGTCCCGTCATCTATGTTTTCTAAACACATTAATGCGTCATTGTGACTAATAATTTTATAAATAAAAATAAAACTCGTGTTTTACAAATAAACTTACTTAATTTAAAACCTTAAGGGCGCATTTATCCGACACGAATTTCATCGCACCCACCCCGGCGTCCGCTCAGTCCCCAGTACATGAAGGCGTGGTAACTGAGCCGTTGCTTTCTCTTTCTCCTCGTGTAACTGGGCGCTTAGTGGTCTGCTCTTGCTTTTCGCTATCAACACAACGTTGCAAGCTTTTTTTAACATAAAAGTCTATGCATTGAAACGTTTTCCTAAACGATTGTGTAAGCTTCATATTATAAACCGTTTAAGTGAAAAGCATTTAGATAAGGACGCCTTTTAAAAAAAATTAAGTTAAAAAAAAGTAAGCAGGTTTTCACATTTCTAAATCTAAATTTCACAGTTTACCTGTACGTTTTCTACAGAATATACTCCATCAACTGATTTAGCTTTCTTTTACCCTCGGACCTCCAGACGTATGGCGGGATGTCATCTCTACTTGGTCGATATTCCGTTCAGGCTTGTAAGCCCTTTTCGTCATCTTTTAATGTGCGCACAACCCAGAAAAGAAATTAATTCCCTACTTGAAACTATATTTACGATCTTTAAGTTGCGACTGAATGGGCATCTTCTAGGTGAACTCATTTCCTCGTAAAGTCTATCTTTGCTCCAGAACCACTAAATCAAGAGTCCACTTTACAAAGAAGTCCTGCGAGAAATAGATAAAATTATTATTAATACACGAGTCTAATAATAAAATCTAAAGCTAACTGTAAATGAAAAATCTATTACACATTCAGAAGGCAGCGGACTAGAACGAACTAAAAACTGGATGATTTGCTGCTTAAGAAATATTTGTATACATTTTATTAACAGAAAAAGTTATGCGAGTCACTTTAACTCAATTATGGAGTTAACAGAAATTCATTTGTTTGTGTGAATGATGAAGATGAACTTCAATAATTCAACAAAGAGGTCTTGGAATAAATAAGTCAGTCACTCTGATATAAATAAGTTAAGTAGTAAACACATTTTCTGCCACATTTGACCGTAAATCATTCAATTCAAATGCTAAATTAAGACAAACAAAGCACATATTGTCTTAAAATTTAATAACGTGCAGTTACACGCTCAGAGTCTTCTCTTTAAAAATTATAAAATAGTAATAAACGTGCTATTTTATCATTATGTAATATTTCGGAAACGCAAACCGACAGGCCACCTGGAAGTGGAAATCTCTTATCGTTCATTGGTTGTGACGACCTTGAGACTTGACACTATTGAAACGATTACTTACCTAACCGCGCCGCTTATTGGGTATATAAAATCATTGCAAGCGATGCAGCTATCATTCAGCGACTGAAACTCATCAAACCAACCATGAGGGCCAAGCTTTCAGTAGCTTTTGGCCTGGTCGCACTCATAGCGGCGGTGTCCGCTTGGGAACTCCGGGAGAAAAGGAGCGCCGACCTCGAAACTGCCGCCTCGAAACACGGCGGCGGCGGCGGCGGCGGCGGCGGTGGCGGGCACTGGGACAAGGGAGGCGGGCACGAACACCACGGCCACCACCATCATGGGCATGGCGGTCACAGCCACAAGGGACACAAAGGACACCACGACCACTACCACGGCGGCAAAGGACATCACCACCACGAAGGACACAAGGGACACCATGGTGAAGAAGGTGGACACAAAAAACATCATCACCACGATGACGGATACCATCACCATCACCATCATGGAAAAAAGGGCGAGCATGGCCACGGATACGACGAACACGGGCACTGGCACAAGGGCCATGACACAAAAGGACACCATGGCGTCGCGAAAGGCGACGAATTCAAGAAAAACAAGCACTTCCATCATAGCCATGGAGACAAAGGCTTCCATGAAGGTTACGGTGGCCATCACCATGAGGGTGGACACAAGAAGGGTGGACACTTTCACCATGGACACAAGCACGGTGGTCATCACGATCACCATTACGGCAAGAAGGGACATCATGAGGAAGGTGGACACCATCACGATCACAAAGGCCACCATGGCGGAGGCGGCCACCATGAGCACCACCATGATCACCATGACCACGGCAAGAAGGGTGGCCATGAGCACCACAAGCACTGGAGCCACAAAAAGGGATAAACTGTGGGCGGTAACCCCATATTTATTGTTATTTGTTGATTTGTTACAAGTGAATATTTTTGTTAATTTTTTAAAAAAGAAATATATAAAGTTATAATTGAACCACTTTTTTTATTTCAATGTACAATTATCAGAACACGATGAACACTTATTAAATATTTTTGACAAACTCGATGATGAACAATTTCCTGTACCTCGCAAATAAGGTTCATTTACCTATTAAACTCACTAGTATGTAGTTTATTATATAATTTACCTTATACGTTGAGGCAAAATAGTTCAATTATATTTTTATTCTCCCTTAATTGAGAGCCATGACCAACCATTAACTTGTTTATTATTTAAATGTATTAATTTAAGCCAGGGTCGTTCACCCTAAATAAGTGGTTTTAACCATAACCGTTTTCATACTTTAGTATGAAATATATACAACCGTTCTATATAGGTGAATTCAAACAAAAAATTAAATATACAAAATACATATGCATCCCTGCTAAATCGTTTTGATTATATACAATTGTCTACAGAGAAAAAAATTAAATTGGTAGGAGTTACGTTGTTGAATAGTTAGGAGGTTTAATCGAAAACTATGAGGTGCAGATAGTTCGTTCGGCAGTCTAGGTACGATAACACCAAAGTGTTATCGTGTAGTTTTACTGCAAATCTTGCAATTGCAGTCTGTATTTCTTCACAATAGCGGTCAGCTGTCATGGTTGTACCAGTTCAAACATTTACCAACAATTTTCTACGGGAAAGTTTCCATTTTTGATTCGCTTTATCACCTGCATTCAACCACTTGTCCGCAATTTTACAATAAAATAAACATCACGTTTCATTTTATTATAAAATTGCGGAATCGCGCGTAGGAAAAACGCACAGTACATTCCTAATTCATATCCGCCCCTAATACGGCTTTAAATCTTTAATGTCTCAAATAGTGTGCTCTGCATTAATAACAAATTTGTATTAAAAAATCATTCAAAGTTAAGCCATATTTTGTTTTCGTAACAGTAGAACCTTACCTATTTTTGCCGCCAAGCAGTAATGTGAGGATTATTGCGTTCCGATTTTGAAAGGTGAGGGTGCTGATGAAATTGCAGGAGCTTGGGTATTGGCAGTGCCTCTCAGATATTTCAAGTTTTGAACGGCACTGCAACTCTTCCATAAGAAGTCCATACAGACGTGTTCATAAAGACGTGTCGCTTACTTCCCTGCGCATCACTTGTTCGTCCTATCATTTGGTATAATAAAAGAAAATTCGAAGTAAATGAGTAAATGTTAACAAAACGAAAACAAATGAATATGGCCAACATTTTAAATTTCGAAATCTTCAAATTTTATTTTATTTTTTACCCTGATTCTTACAATAAGCGCTTCATCAACTTTGTGACGGTGTGACCTCCTTACATCGTCATCCCGCCTTTCTCCGGTTCCTGGCCACTCGTATTTAAATTTAAATTTTGAATTGTTCCATTCTTTGGCTTGCATTCTGATTTTGTTTCGTTCCATCGTCACTTCCTGCTCGATCGCGACAGCGAACACGTCTTCTCTTCTTATTTTTTTTGTGCCGTTTGCCAATAACTAAAATCTCTTGTGCGATAAACATTTTAAAGATCTCAAACATTAATAAAACGGGAATCATATTTATAAAACTGGATTGATTACCACTATGTCTTTACCTCTTTTGAATTCTGAACGTTCAACTACTAAGCAAGATTATGGAGACGCGCTGGCTGCGGAGACTACCACTCTCCCTACGACATTACTATCCTACAGTACTCCACCAGCACTAGCAGCGCTTTCACACTGGCGCCCGAACAGGGACCCATAGAAAAAAATACGTTGTATTAAACCTACAATTTCCAATACCAACGTGAACGATGACATATTTAGGCCATAACGTAACATTGATGATCCATGTAATTTGTGCAGAAAAATGTTTTAATAAACATTGCGCTGCGAAAATATTATAAAACGTTATTAAATAAGAGATGACTTACGTCGTCGAGGGAATTCCTTTCCCCTATTTAAAAACGACTTTAGAAATAATTATTCTTGGATAAGAATATAATGAAATCATATCAGCTCAAGTCGAAAAAATGGAGAAAGTTGTATTTATAAAAACGGAAGTTATTTTAAAATTTCATCTTTATTTACCGTGGATTTTATATAAATTTCACTGTTCTACTGATGGTTTTAATTTTAGTAAAAATTGAGTTTATATCTTCATCTCTTTTTTAGATAATGTCCTTCTGTTCCTGTTTCTCGTTATTTATGTTGATTATATAAAATTAGATTTACTTTTTCATTTCGTTTCTCTTTTAATGACTCGAGATTGATTAATAAGTAATTATAATACTCTGTATAAAATGGAATAAGACAAAAAAAACAAAAAGCATTACGTGTGTTCTTATCATTTAGATTTTTTTTAATTTCGTTATTTTTCGCTTTTTAGTGAGTATTTGTGGTTTTTGAAGTGGTTGAATTTATTTTATTTGTTTATTTTTCCATTTATAGTAAATATAGGCAGGTAAGTAGTGCAAGGTTTAGTTCAGTGCCTATACGAAACATTAGACGGTAGTGCGCTCTGTAATTTATAACTAAATAACACAAAAGGCATTAAGAGAAATGAAAAGTTAAGACGATTGTCTTTATCGCCGATCATATAACGAAAAGGCATTACGAGAATTGTCTTAATTTTTTCATTCAGGTGTTTGAGTCTGATAGTCAACACTTCATGCTGCTAAGTTGACGATAAGTCAAAGTCAAATATCTTTATTCAAATAAGCCCATTACAACCTTTTTCGAAAATTACAAGCACTTACCATCTTCAGGTGCGGGTTCTGCTCATCCCTTTATATCATTACGAAAAATGAGATGAAGACGATTGTGTCGCACGTTCACATCTATCCGAGAACCTTTGATTTGAGACTTTTTTTACAGTTCATCAAACACACTGTTCATGCCTACAAAATTTGAGAATTTCCCTCGATTTCCATGAGATACCCCATCAGATTCTGACAATTGGTGACAATGGGACTACCTCGAGAGTAAATGTCGCAGCCGTATTGTTTGCACTTTGTTGAGATACAGTTGATGTTTTTGCGACGCCATTTTTGTTGATAATGCAGCGCTATTGGCGGTTGTATCTGGAACTAAGTATCTCAAAGCGGCTATTGTATTCCGACGGCACATTTCTTAGCTGCTTTGTGAAACGCCACGTGCTATTACAATGCGGCGTACCTTTTTTAGGCGAATTGCAATCCGGCGGAACACGAGGTAGCCGTATTAGAAAACAGCGTAATTTTGCAAACCGGCTACCCGTAATGTAATTCGGGGATTTATATAATATGCGACGTACATACACCCTTTTAAACAAAGAAAGTATTTCCAAAATCGATGCACAATTGACGGAGAAATCGGTCAACATACATAAAACATACATACAGGCGAACATTGACTCCTCCTTTTTTTTGAAGTCGGATAAAATTTAATGCTGCACTCCTAATCATGCTGATGTAATCGACATTTTTAGCGAAATTGAGTTATTAAAACGGATCAGCATTTCAAGATGTACAACCCCTATCTCTAATCGATTTTTTTATATCTTATTTAGATTCAGTTTCATTGCAAGGCGAGGTATTTCAACGCGAACCTAAATTTTAATGGGTGAGGTGTATGTGGGGTCGCCCCTCTTCTTCTTCTTGAGGTGCCAACTCCTACCGGAAGTCGGTTATCATTAGGGGTATGTGTATTTTAGACACAGCTGCACGGAACAAGGATCTTGCGCTCAGGTTGAACCATGTCCGGAGCTTCTTAAGCTACGAAGTACGCCTCTTTCCAGGTGGTCGCTTTCCCTGTATCTTTCCTTGCATAATTAGTCGGAGTAGGTCGTATTTATCATTACGCATTACATAACCAAAGTACTGTGGGGTCGCCCCTCGCGTACCGCAATCCGCGCGCTCTAAATTCATATGAATAAAATGAGAAGAGGCGGAGAAAATTGACAGTCGACGTCGAGCGCTCAATGGCGACTGACGGGGCAGCGGGCGGCGCGGCGTCTCAGAGAATTTAATAACTAATAGAGCTTCAGTTGAAAACCAAAATTTAGCAGGTTCTCTGTAATACTTAAAGATAAATATCTCCATACAAAAATGATGTGCAAAGTTAGATTATTTTGTTCTTAAATAATTCGTTTTAGACTTTCATTTTAGCCTATTTTCAGGATTTTATATGATCAGATAAAATACATCCTATCGTGTAACACATTAGCACATTTTTTAGAGAATATCCTTAGGTGTATCGTATATTTTTTATAAGACCATTACTTATTTAATAATAAATTTAATCAGCATTTGATCTAGCAAAACTGTTCATTCCGCTTTTCCTCCGGTGCCTTTAGCAAAACAAAACTTTAGGTACCAATATATCGAAAGTTACACCAATCAATTACTTAAAACATATTACTGTAATTATTTTTATAGTATTTGTAATGGCTACAAATAAAGTTATTATAGTTACACAAATGCAAATGCGTTAGTTAACGCAAGAAGGACAGAATATTACAACAGGCGTGTAACTTACCATCAGGCGCACGACTTGTTCGTCCCGTCACTTGATGTTATAAAAAAAATTTAAATTACAATATCTTTACAACATTTGAATGGTCACTATAAATTGCACTGAAAGATCATAGTACGAATTTGACAAGCAATTCAACTTTTTAGCTTAATCAGGATGGCTATAAAAGCCCTCTGGCATTCAATACACAGAATGACTGCGGGATCGTTTAGCAACATAGCTAATTATACTTACTATCCCATTAGGAACACAGCGCAATAAATTTGAAAGCGTTGAGGGACTTTTTTCATGCAATTTTTAAAAATAATTTAATTCCTAATATTGATAACGACGTACGCGGCCGAGTGACTTTGCACACCGGTTTTCAAGGTGTCTCCATCTCTGGGTCTGGGTTCGATCCGCGGCAGGGTCAATGTAGA